CAACTGTTACTCTCTCGCGTCGCGTAAGCTCTAAATGCGTGGCTATGTAGGAGAAAAATGGGACAGAGAGTATGGCTTTATATGAGAGTGGAGGTTGAGTGGAGGCTATCTGAACACAAAGGAAACGCTGCCGAGTAGCAACTGTCCGGGGCTGAGCGCAGTTAGAAAGCGTACGCGAAGAGAACATCACAGAAAGAGACGTTACAGAGAAAACGATTGTCAGAGACGCAGCAAAAAAGCGCAAGGGGTGCACGGTATTCTAATTAAATTGAGCAGGGCTATGCGGCCAAGCCGAGGCGCAAGTGCAATGGTTTCTCTGGTCATTTTCTGCAGGAAAGTGCTTTGTCAGTTCTCACAGTGGTTCTCATCCAGTACCACCAACCCCTTGCACTTTCTCAAATACTTTTTCGCGGTCTTCTTGTCGGTAGAAGTGTTCCCTTTTCTTTATCACTTCTTTCTTCATATTCTTACACATTTTTTCAAGCTTATAGTTGAAATCGTTTTCCTACACATTGTCATTTCCAATCGCTCATATATTCCCCAGCTGGCGGACCTGCGTTCGTTTTTAGGCAAATCTTGCCAACCCTTGATAAAATCCCTTAAATTTCGGTCCCCATGCTCTAACAGGAGCTTCACCTTTCCATGGATTATCACTTGACAATTGCCTTTGCAGCTGGTGTGCCCTGTGCTTTGTTGTAAATCGTTTTACAACGTGGACAGCACGCTTTCTCATATATTTTTCGACATGGCTTTTGAATCTATTTAAGAAATTCCTCTTTCAAACACATGTTTTATGACTTTTAGCTCATCAGTATTCTTTCAAAGAATCGACTAATTCCAGCGCTAAATGTTTGGACCTCATGGTCTGCTACACCAGTGATCTCATGCAGTTAATACGCGATGCGCATTGTAAAAATCGATATTTGTTCGTTTTTATCAAGTGCTGGCCACGGCTTCGGAGCCCTATAGTTGGCACCATTCGATTGTTGCAACTGCAAATTGTTAGCTTGTTTTTTTGTTGAAATTTCTTTTATATAAGTTGCTCCGTTCTTCGGTCAGTGAGCACGGGTTTTCTGCTTCCCCTCAAGGCGCCAAATTGGTGTCACCACCTAATAACAAATTCCTGATCACAACTTGCGACTTCACCAGTGTACTTGAAGGAGCCAACCAGGAATGCGACATTCGTTTTCGGGTGGGTGCAATTTAGCTCCAGCTGGTCTCTGGGGGCCCATTGGCGTCAGGAGTTGCCGAATCATTGTAAAGCAACATTTCTTTATTCATCCATAAACTACGCAGTGTGCTGCTGCAATACACTAAAGAACAAAATTACTTCAAATGCAACTGAGTAAAGTAAAATATATCCTATACTATCATATAAATGGGTGAATCTTGACGACAGTTATCGCGCTCAACCATTCCAGCGCTCATTGTAAGGAAGTTCAGTTTATAAGTGAAGTTCTGACGCCTCCTTAGTTTCCCCGCCCACCAAAACACAAAGCCTCTTTTCTATCACGATTACAGTTTTTATACCGTATTTTTCGTTTTTCTTTTTTGTTTTGTGATATTAGCATTGGATGATGGGAAGAAAGTACTAGTAAACCAGAGGAGGCAGAATATAGCTCTGCTGGCATGAAAGGAGCAAGCAGGCCCGAAGGACTCGTACGGTGGGGCTACCAGTGGCTTGCTTAGGAAATTTCCTTGGCTTTTTTTCCTTTTTTCTTCCTGGACTGTCATTTAGCGGCTACAGATATGTAACTGAAGCCACTTCCACAATATGCATTCGCGGGACTTGCCTTTAAATGCTGGGTTAGTGGAGTAGCCTTGAAAAACAAGCTCTTTACAATTTATTTATTTATTATTTTATGCGCGCATTATTGCTCCGCTGCAATTTTTTGAAATCGCTAAGTCTACTTGACCACAAAAAAGGTAATAAGATGTCTTGCAATTTCGTGTTCATCTACCTCTAATTGCTCATGACGTACTTATTGCAATATATACGTCTCGATCTATTACACATCGCTTTCGTATTATTTAACCCGGGTTTTCTCAGAAGGTGTAGAGACGCCAAGCTGTGTCGTCGCGGCATCTCTTTAAGTACATTGTAGTACCCTTTACTTGTGGACTCCTGCGCCCAACCTTTGCAGATGTCGGCCGGAAGTGGTCACCATAGTCTTATGGGTGGTGCGCCTCACCAAGTCCCTGGACCAAGAACTCAGGTATGTCCCTCATGCTGCTTTACGTTTTTTTCTTGCTTTTTTCATTTTACACATGATTTAACTATTTTGCTGAGCCATTGATTTAGGGATGCTTTTCAAGTGTTTCTAAAATTGTTTCGTGGGGGCCAGGTTTGAAAGTGGGAGAGAGTGAGAGAGAGAGAGAGAAAGAGAGAGAGACAGAGCGAGAGAGAGAGCCAAGCATCTATAGATTACGGTGCTTTCGTGGCTGGGTTTTCTTGTTAGCAAATCTGGTAATGATCGTGATCGTCGAGCCGCTCTTAATGCCGCAAAGGAGGTGTTACATTCATTAGTCAACCAATGTTCGCGAGTTCATCCCCTGCTCAGAATTCCTATTCACCCAACAATCCGAAGTTTTGCGCAAGTAATCTTGATTACCATCGTGTACTAACGTCCATCTCGTGTCTCTGCGGAATAATCGCTTACATTAAAAAGATCAGCCGCATCTCATACCTTCGAAGCGGGGCAACCCGCCATTATGGAGAATCGCCAACTACTTTTGCGAAAAACAGTGAGTAAGGCCTTATAATGCTGTCTTCCGCAACGAGACAGATTGCGCAATCCGTGGTATATGTAACGACATTGAATCGCACCAACAAGAAACCTTAGGGTCGTTGTATTGAGGAATTTAAAATTTTCGACTCTGCTCATTATCGAATTGCCGTAAATGTCAATTCTCACTCCCTCACGCTCGCCACCAAGTTAACTTCTTCACTTTACCACTGTGGTTTTCAGTATCTCACCAACTCCTCCATCTATTTAGAACTTAAGTACTTTCGGTAGCAATTCTGAAAGAAGCTCGTTGCTAATCTATGCTGAGGCGCAGAGGTGCAGTTTGGCGAATGGCCGGGGGGGGGGGATATCTTCAGTTTTCTACTCCCATAACTTGGCGTGTAAACATCCAATGTTGAATGCCTGCGAAATCCTTTTTGTGTAGCCATCGAAAACATATCATCAAAGGTGTTGATTTACACGCTGACAACTTCTGCATATATACCATGGCAAACATCATTAACCATGCAGCCTTGTCCGAGCTTTTTCTCCAAGCATTCACAAATTCACTGGTTTACCCAGCGAGAACGTTGTAAAACGCGAAGCAGCGAAGCAGCGAAAGCAAAATGCCCCCACCCAGTGCCGGTTTTTCTGCTGCCTGTGGTCCGCTCGCTGTAATCTGCTACGCTCTAGAGTAGGTTTTTCTCAAGATTGAGAGAAAGCTGATTCACTTCCTAGGGACAACTACTTTTCTGGCGTCATAAATAAACGTAATCTATCCAAGTGATTCCTACACAACCTAGACCAATGACTCTACATACGACCGATCTGCCTGGCAATATTCTCTATACTTTTTAAATCAACGCCCGCAATGCCGTCAAAGAATGAAACGTCGTTAACGGAGAAATAGTCATGCATCAAAGAATGGTTTTTTTTCCACTCGTAGCTCAGAAAAGGTTGCATTTTCACGTCTAGTCGTTTGTAGCCCACTCTTGACAAAACTGAGCCAAATTAAAAATCGGTGACAGGGGAGGGTCATTTCGCGATTCTGCGCCTTCGTCGATTCGGTAATTCAGGTTACAAGTCTCACTCTGGTAAGACCTATGAAGTCGTGTGAAGCTAGAGCAAGCTCGTCGAGCCACCATTTACAAACTCTGGCTGGCATCATACCGTAGCTTCATCCTAGCTTCATAGGATTTTACAGGCGTTCACCTGATGGCTTGTTGCCCCGGTAGACATTGCCTCGATTGACCTTGAAAGCAGCAAAAGTGCAAACTGCCCCCACCCCCCCCTCTCCTCACCGAACTGCGGCCTAAAAATAGTATCAAATCAGAAGATGAGTTTGCACGTTTGAGGGAGCTGCAACTGGTGGCCAACCGCTTTCGGCGACAGCTAACCAATTTGTGGACAAAATCGATCCATTCAGCAAACGTGGTACTAGCAGAAGAAGGTTAGTTGTGCTCCTCTTCTTCACTCGTTATTGGAATCACCAAGAACGCTCCAATTACTTGTTTTAGGAGGATCGTTAATAGCAGCAGATATCATGCCGAAAATGAACCTGAGTTGGTCCAACTTCCACTGATTAAAGGTGAGGTCAATTTCGTTTATGCCCTATTTGAGAACAGAAGAAGTTGCCTCGGAGGAAGAGAGAGAGGACGTAATTGGGCATAACGAAGGGGACGTATTGGCAACTCCTGCTTACGTGCCCGACTACTTGCTATGAACACTTGCAAGGCTACGGAACAGTACTAGCTTTATTTTACATATATCTTTCTGCTATTTTAAACAAAATTTAGTGCAAAGAGTGAGCAGTGACCATAAGTCGTGGAATGCGAGACAAGGGGGTCATGTGTAACGTGCTGATGGGGGGGGGGGTTGTAGGTGCAGCGTTTCAGTTTTGTAACAAGCGGCGTCTCCGCAGAACAAGCACGAAACAAAATAGACAATCATTTCGACAGTCACTAAAGGAGGGGGTCTTGTAGACGCACTCTTCTGTTTAGGGAGTCGTACCGACTGGGCTGTTTTCCGCGATGTGGTGCTTGATCTTGGGTAAGAGGAAGCGAATGTGAGTCACGGATGAGAAATTTGGCCTAAATCCATGGGAAGGAGTTCAGAGTGAACCAACAAGTGCAAAAAGTGGTTTGAAACTGAAGGTCGTAGCAGCTACGAGGGAGGGTTTGCGAAATGCCCTGCCCCGCATCTGCTGCGAGCATGTCGCACACTGAGGAATCTCGAGCGGGGGTCGTGTTTGGTCGCTGAAGGGACCATATCGTATCTGG